GTCCAAGCATGGAAACGCACACCTGGACTTTGCGGCCGTTAAAAAAAGATCGTATCGTTTTCCACGAACAATAAAAATGTTTGCATAGATTTTTTGTCTCTCACTCTTACATCGAAGGGAACTTTGCGCTTAGTTTCACGAAAGGGGACACGATTGACGCTTGTTTGCATAGTGAAGTGCCGCTAATTTTTCTATAAACTGTTATTTCAAGGGAAACACCCTGCTTCTACCCTTGCTTAAATCCATTTCGTTACAATGGTAGCCATCATCGTAATGCAAACATATATTCCATCGTATCTTAAAGAAGTTACGAATTTATATTAGTGACACTTTTTTTTGTATAGAGTATGATTGAAAGAGAGAGAATGTGATGATGTTCCAAAATGTAACCGATATTAAAATTGAAATGCATATTATTTAGTTTCTCAAAGTTTCTTCAAATCTTTCCGTATATTTTACAATCAGATATTTTTTGAAAGCGCGATTTCTATCCAATCAATTACCAATTATTAAAGGCAATATTATATTAGTTGACAATATTAGTCAACGTTAGCGTTTCTCTCGAAACAAATGTAAGATTTCACCAGATATTTTTCGAAGACGCATTTTTTTGTACCAGTGACAGAAGGAATAATACTCGTGAACAGGATAATTCAGGCGATCTTAGTCGATCGTCTCGAGGAATCACGTCCATTAATTCGCGGACGCATCGAGGCGTCCCGGGCAATTTTAATAACTCACCACGGTAATCCGTATAACGTGGGTCGTTTTACGTTGGCCATAAAACACTTTACAACTCCGGCTAATAAAAAAACTTTCAACAATTCCACCACCGGGATCAATAACGGATGAAACCCGATTGGACCCCGGCCTCGGCCAATCAGGCTTGGATACGGCAACTAAGGGATGAATTTCGCGGATTCTGCGCCACCGAGACCGCGATTCTATTGGTCTCGTCTTGGCCAAGGGGGTTGCAACGTTTTATCCGAATGAAATCTTACAGATATGGACGCTGCGAGAATAGCGGGGATGAGGTTTTCCGTCAAAAAACAGCGACTTTTGTTACGCCTTCTTTGCCAATATATTGCTAAGACATACACATAATGGAGTTTCCTTGGACATAGAAAAATGTACACATATATATTTCTGGTCATGTACTTTTTTTAATTGATATATAGATTAATGAAAAAGCTGTTTTACGCGATAATATCGCGTAAACATGGGACGTTGTTTAATGACGCATTTCAAATTCCCATTCGCGTAAAACTTCATCCGAGAATACATATAAGAAGAAGAAAATGAAAATACGTTTGCGCAACATTTCCGCGAAATAGAGACATCGAAAAAGTAAAATAAAAGAAAGATAAACATCATCTATTTGATCTTAAGTGGAATCTAGAAATGTTTCTTAAGAACACTAGTTAACTAGGTTGAACTCATGTTACTTTCATGACTTTTTTATCCGTGACGAGAAATAGAAAATGTCTTAAATGACACTTTCATTAATATTTATAGAAATTTATAAATAATTTTATTGTTTGACGTATTTTATCTTTATCTCTTATTAATCATCTATTAAATTTTTCGTTTCGGTAAATATGAATGAGATATGTAAAATAATTAAATTTTGTCATATTATTTTACAAGAAGCGACGTTTCCGAAACAAATAATTAATAATTAATAACAAAACATTAAAATTAAGTGAGATTTAGCTCATTTTATATTTTTTAAATACATAATTTAAAAAAAGATAAAAATAAAGTTTAGTTAATTGTTTAATAATTTTATATGAAATTGTTGTGTGAATCATTTTTAAAGATTAACGAAAATTAATTAAAGCAAAGAAAAAAAGTAAGAAAACTATAGTAAGAAAACTATATATATATATATATATATATATATATATATATATATATATATATATATAGTTTACAAAATAAATTAGCATCTTAAACTAATTTAAAGTTGAGTAATTTCTCGTTTCTCTCTATTTAAATTGTAAGTATATTACTATTTAAATTGTAATTACAACATAATTAATAACATAGCGTTATATACAATATTTGAGATTTTAAAAAATGTATATATCGATGCTAATAATATTTAAATAAAAATACGAATATTTATATGTTTGCATTTTATATTGAATGTTAACATTATTACAGAAAAAGAGAAAGAAAATTCTATTACTTTAACTTATTCTTTAAAAAAAGAGACTTTTTGATACGATATCAATTCAATTGCTAAGGAATTTTCAATAAGAATTTGCACACATTGTGAAAAAACCTATCAATAATGTCGAAAATAAATTATCAATACTCTAGTATAATTTTAATAGAAATAATATTGTTAGAAATTATTATTGTAAATAAAAAAAATAAACTTTTACGTATTTTTTATCTTTTCATACATAAATTATTTTTAGATTATCAAGAAATTCTTATTTAACACTAAGGAACTTTTATTTTTATATTTATAGATATATCATTCTAAATATATTTTAAGAAGAATCTGTACAAGAAATAAAAATTAAGAAATAATAAAATGTTTTCTGTCTTATATGATTATTAATTGAAAAGCATCTTATCGGAAAACTAGCAAAACCAATAAAAACAGAACATAATTTGGTTAACATAGTTAAGAAAATATTTGCCAATTTCTTTAGAAATTAAAATAAAAAACTTAATGAAGTACAAATTCACAATTTCAATAATATTAACAATCTTTCAACAGCAGAAAATTATTTAAATGCATCATTAATGCATTAAATGCAAATTTGAAAATGTAACTTTTAATTTTGAATAAATTGTTCAATCGTAGTCATTGTCAGTATATCAGTAAATAAAAACTAATCAATTAATTAATCAGTAGAGTAAAATAAAACGTTTTAAAAATGATTTCTTTTACATTGGCTTTCTGACTCTATTACATTGAAAGTTTCCAAAGGCAAAATTGCAATATTTTCTTGCAATATATTCTCGAAAAATTAATAGAACAATAACGCACCTTAATAAATAAGTAGAATATATACGACAGGACGCCGTTTATGCAATACGTACCGATTACGGTTAATTATTACTGTCCATGCTCCGATTGACCGTTGTTTGCAGGCAGGACTCGATTTCGAAAATGGCGAGAGAAACGACGCGAAGTTGACCCGCGTGAAGTTGACGTAATACGCACGGATCTTATACGACTAAAAAAAAACTGTCCCTATCTTGGCGCTCAAATAAAAATTTTTAGTTCACAGTGTTGTATCTACAAATATAATAAATATATTATAATTACAAAATATATATATTATAATTAAAAAATAATTAAAAAATTTATTATTTATTTTCGCATCTTGATATTTATATTGTTATAATATTAATTATGATGTGACTATTTATATTTAATATGTCAAATTCACATTACTATTGATTATTATAGAAATATATATAATATTACTAGATGTTAAAAAACATGGATTTAGGATATCTAGATTTGCATAGATGCATAATATATACGCACACAAAATCAATCAAATCTAATACGAAGAAGATAGCAATGGCATCTTATACATTAGATATTTAATTTTCTTTATGCATGTATTTTTGAAAATTAAAGATTGGAATTTGACTCAATCAAAACAAAATACAAATAATAATTAAAATTTCTTTGTCCTGATTGGTCAAATATCAAATTTCAATCTTCAATTTGATATTTGATCGTAATGAAATACAATATTCTATTGTAAATCTATTAATATTTACTATCAAATATATGTTATCAATAATATATACGTGCATAATAAATATAAAAGTAGTCAATACTAATATGAATCAGACGCATTAAATAAGAAGTCCACACATCAATAGCAGCGTACGATACAATTTTTCATGTTAAATTCGATGTACATACATACATCGTATTTATGTTCAATTCTATATAATTGATAAAAAATAACTAATAATTAGGAGAATATATTTTTCTTTGCAAAAAAAAAAATGCGAATTATTTATACTCAAATTTTATGCTCTCCAGAGAGGTACTCATAACACAGAGAAAATATATTCATCTTTATACAACGCGAATTGATTGTATAAAATTTGAAAATATACTATTTATTATTAAACAAGTTTTCTTGTAAAAAATTTTATTTTTTTACATTTATATTGAAATAATTTATGTGTACGAGACTGTTATATATATATGTATATATCAATTTATATATACAAAGTCTGTCTCAATTTTTTTATCACATTATAGAAATTTCAAGCTATACGAGAGTTTACTGTATAATCCGGGAGATAAGTCAAATCGAAGTAAATTGCAAATCTAAATTTGCAAGAACTGAACGATTGTATAATTTTTCTTTAGAGACGAAAACGTAGAAAATCTTACTGATATGCAATGAATATTTAAGTTTTTGCTTATAATTTTATGTATTGCATATATTCTATTGTGTATATATTTGATATATATTTTACTCCTTTAAATATGTTTTCTATATTATATAATATGTAGAATTCTATCCCAAATTGTACGTCGTTTAAAGACTCCATATATCTTATATGGTGCGTGAAAAAGATGATTCAATAAAAGATAAAACAAAATTAAATAGGTACTAATCTAAATTTTAAGATTTAAATTTCCTTACTTTAATAGATTAGTTTGATGCAAAGCAAATGTGACTTAACAAAAAATATTCAAATTAAAATTGTCACACTAAATGTATGATATATACCTGATGTATATAATTTAGATTTAGAAAGATTATAACTGCTTCTATGCATTATATGATTCCATCTAAATTTATCTTTATCTTTTATATATTTGTGATAAATTATTACTATCAATAAAATTTATCTCTTCAGTCTATTCATGCTATAGTTTTAAATTTCAAAAAATTTATTTTTAAAAAACTAAAACTCTAAGATATGAGATATGTATAATAATCTTCACGATTCAATATTAAAAGAAAATTATAACGCAGGATACTATAAAACAGAAAGAGTAGAATTGAGATTTTATCTTTATTTCCTTGAAAAATTCAAAGCTGTGAATTAAAATTTCATTCGATGCGGATACTGACTGCTTCGCAGACCAAACATTGCCGACAGATAAGTAAACAGCAATTTTTTATCTTGATGCTTCTTGATAGCATCAATCACTAGTTTGTCAACGATTTTCTGATCAGCTTTTCTTTGATCGCTCGCTTTATATTCTTCCTTCTTTTTACTGAAAATATCACCTTCCTCTTTCTTGGCGCGCTTGTCACGTTTCCTCTTGAAGTAATCATCATTTATACGCTTAGGCAACTCAATGCCAGAGAAATCTAACTTTGTGGAGGTAGCAATCACATAATTCTGGCTGACTCTTCGCAAAGGACAGGCATTGATCAGAAATGGTCCTGTTTGTTAACAATTATAAATTATAATTAAGTTTGATAATAGCTTTTTTGATTAAATTATATTAAATGTTGAACAGATTGAACACTACCAAATGTTGTAAGATTCAAAACTCATTCCTCATTAATCTAACATACCTGTAACCAAAAGCAAACCACTCTTCAGTTGTTTCAAGAAGACAACTCTTTTTCCTTTGTGAGGTCCAGCTAACAGAATACAGATTGTTCCAGGAGTCAAAGAAGGTCGTAGATAACGACGATGTTCATGGAAACATTTCTTAGAATGGTGCACAGTGACTGGATCAGCAGTAGGATAGTTTGCACGCCTCTTCTTCAAAAGCACGATACGTTTCTCTCCGTTTTTATCACCACCAATCTTCTTTTCAATAGTCAACGGCGTTGATGGCTTGGGCTACAACAATGCATTCATCAGTATACAAATTAGACTTGTAATATTTAACTTTATTTGAAATTAAATCTTTAATCTTTAAATAAATTTTTATAATTTAATCAAATTTATATTATCATTTCAACTTTATATATATAAACCTATTACATAATTTTTTAGTATATATATATATATATATATATATATATATATATACATATAAAATCTTGAAGAAATGATCTAAATTATAATGAAATAATAATAAACGATTCTGTACCTTTTTCGGACTCTTCTTACCCAGGAATTTATAGATAGCCTTTTTATGGTACATACGTGTACGACTGAACCTATAAACACCGTTTCCTAGATCATAATTTCTTGGTTTTCCCCTCGAAGGTTTTCCCTTGCTCTTTTCATCCTTTTTGGCTGCAGCAGGTGCAGCTTTTTTCTCTGGAGTTTGCACTTTAGTATCTGCCATCTGTAAAAATTATTTTTATATTTAATAAAAAAAAAAAAACAATATAACTAAGTAAATGTAGACTAGAGATATACTTTCATACTTTCAATAGATTAAGAATAGTCTTATTGAACGCAAAAATAAGAGTAATTATAAATGTTATCTAAAATAGAATAGAGTGTTGCATAAAGAAGCGAGATGGTAGCAACACATGCTACTACAAAGTCTAATCATAAATAGTAACGTTTTAGAGGTTAAATCGTTTTAAAGGTTATACTTTTCCCACGTTGCAAATAGAAGATTGTGTAAAAGTAAAATACGAGATATAGCTTATTAAAAAAATTAAAATCTATACAAATTAATTTTTATACAAGATACAAAAAGATAATTTATATCTATTTAATCCAAAATGTTAAAATCACACATACGATATTTGGTGAGAAAATAAAATTGGCGTTCGATATCACGAAAATATAAGGTTGCCTTTATAAATTGAGCTTATACTACACGATATTTGTACGTGAAATTCAATTAATTTTTGTTATAACAATCGGATTTCTTCGATTTTATTAAATCGTTTCTCATATTGAAGTCTTACCGTGAAGCGAGCGGCAGCGTAAAGGTTGGTAAAAATTGTTTGCTAGATGGAGCCACGTGTTATTCCGGTAAACACATCTATTGGAAGAAAAGAGAAGTTATCACGGAAAAATTATTTCCGTTCTAAGTACCAACAGTAAATACTTTCTTCGTTTTTTTTCTCGTTTCGAATCGATAATTGAATAAAATAAACAGATTTAGTTTCTTTTGAATTTTTTTGCAGGATATATACAAAATACAATGGGAAGGGGAGAAGCTTTCTTCTATAATATGATTCTTATTTACAATTATTACGTCTAATAACATTGTAATAAATTAAAAATGAAGAAATGATAAAATAAATACAAATTAATGTTCTAAAATCTGCGTAATATTTAAAGTGTTTTAATATCTTTTAAGAATTGAACTTTTTTAAATTAAATCTTTTCCCATTTAAAAGTATTTCATCTTAAAGTTAAAATAATTGCAAATTTATTTGAATTATAATTAATTAAAATGATTAAAATTTAATTAATTATAATAAATTTATCATTATATAAAAAAATTAGTTTATTAATTTATTATTCTATAATAGCATTATGTATTTAATTAGTAAAAAAAGAAACAGAACAAATAGAAATATAATTAAATATATATATATATATATATATATATATATATATACATATATATATATATAAATAACAAATATTAATTACAATTAATAATTTTTCAGTTATAATAAAATTTCAGATTGAATGCATACATACATATATGCAAGAGAGATAGAAATATTTTAATATATATTCATATGATATTTTAAAGACTCTTTTCTGTCTTTGTATTTTCATTATTATCTTTACAATATTCAATAAACTTTTACAAATGCAATGATGTCAGGAGAACAACAAACTTATAAATTCCCATTTTCCATTATACTATCACTATTACTCATGCATCTTGCACACATACAATATATACAGTATTTGGAGTTTTTATTGTAACTTCAAAAATGCAGTAGTCGCACACAATCAGCTTTACGACGTGATAAGTTGTAGAATATATGCGAATGTAAATTCACATGCATAATGTCATTCTGCAATCTCTGATGAAGTCTCTAATCGAACAATCACATTTACTGTATAATGATTGTGAGCCATATAATTTTTCAAACTCCAAATGGCATCTTTTGCAATCAAATGTCAATCTCAAATAATTCTTATGAATAAATCATATATTCTAGTACTAAACATATACTATAAAATATCGTACAAAAATTTATGAAAAGAATTACGTAAGAGACCAATAATTGATATAATTATTTTTAAGATTAAATTTGAAAGCAATGTATGTATAATGATAAACAGGCGACAATCTCGACAGTAAAAAAATATATATATAACGATACAAGAAAAAATCTCGTGAAACATCTTTAATAACTCTTAAAATTGTAAGATCTACTCTAATAAATAGCTTTTAGCTGTAATTATTCCTCCATTCATCCAAACTCATCTTGCCAAAATACAATGACGTATACATGTCATTGTTATTATATATACTAATATAGAGAGATGACCTTCCATTGAAATGCAACTATTTAAAATAGTCTCACATTGGTGTAAAATATCTTTATGTCTTTGTGGGACAATATCCGATTGCATAATTTCAAATCAATCTAACAAAGATAATATATTTATTGTACAAATCTCGAGAGACACTTCGCGGACATGAATAATGAATAATAAAAATATTGAGTCACATAATTCACAAATGAGAATGTGTTGCAAAATCACCACAGATGATGTGTATTAGTAGAGTTTCTTCATTTGCGCTTCTTTATTGTCTCTGTGAAGCAAAAATAAAATTAGCATTATGTATGTATTTCTTTGCATGTAATAAGACTTTATTATATATAATTACCGGTAAATGCTATACACAAATAATATTATCATTTGTATCGCGATGAACAGCAAGAACATGCTGACTGATAAACAATTAGGACAATCCGCGCTTCCTGTAATTTTACTATCTTTCTTCAATGTATTCAGTCCGTCTCGTATCTCTGCCATTAATGACTGATGATCGTATCCCATTGGCTGCACCTGTGTAATTATATATCATAAAAGAATCCTCTAAAAAATTTTATCGCTATTCTTAGAACAAGTAAGTAATATGAACCTGTGCAGTCGGAGCGCGCGCTTGATTGTTAAGAATAGAATCAGTCTTAGTATGAAGGTCTCCCACAAAAGACTTGATTTCCTTGGCCGCACTTAATATGATATTTTGATTATTTAGCACAGCATCGACTTCCTGCCGACGTATGCCGACGGAATCAATTGCTACAGGTTGTTGTCCTAATTGACCATTCACTTGCATACCTAATCAATGAATTTAAATCAAATTTATCAATATATTGATGTAAATTATAATATAAATTATAATAATAATGTAAATAATATGAGTGATTTACCTCCTTGGACCGCTTGAACTTGTGATATCAAACTCAATGCTCTCTCTTGCCTTCCAACAATTTCATCTAATTTCCTGTTAAGTTCACGCAAGGCATCAAACATCTGACTTTGTCCATTGAATATCTGCCGTAATTCTTTCTGGCCCTCCGTTTCATAATATTCTTCGTATTCCTGTTTGCGAAACTTATCTGGATGTTCTCTGTTAGAATAACACATCAATATTAACATCAATGCGTCATTGTATCATAAAAGTGTGTGGCAGGTGTATATGCCTACTTGCGATATTCCTCTTTCTGCTCATCTAGTTTCTTTTGGTAGTCAAAGTATTCCTGTTGAAGCTTTGCCTGTTCCTCTAAAGAAACTTTATGCGCATCAACTGGTAACTGTCCGGGAGGATACAAAGAGAGGGTTAGAAAATGTAAGATATCATGATCGTCGGCCAGACCACCTAGGTAGATAAAAATGTATGAAAAGGATAGAATTTGATTTGAAATAAAATAACTATACATTTTCGCCTACATATATTTTTTTTTATGTAACAATATTTCAATATTTTTGTTATATAACATACCAGTAGCAGCGGAAATTCCAAAGAATCCATTTTTCGGTAACACAACATTATCAAATCGAAAGCACATTTCATAATCTTGATCATTGTTTGTCATGCCATTGTGAAACATCAACTAAACAGATGAAATAAGTTAATTAATCAGATAGTTGAAATAAAGTATAAGACTTACTAGAAAATTTTCGCGTGTGCTCACCGTTAATGTATTCTTATAATATTCTATCCGTGCTCGCGTGGCAAAAGGTTTATTACGAAAATCTCGCAAACAGCCTGCCAATTGCTGTGTAGAGCCATCACTATTGTGAAACAAAATAAAACAGGATTATGTAAAATAAATACTTAGAATATGTCACATGTGCAAGTTGCTAAATAAAACTAAATAAAATAATTTACTTTGCGTGATCAAAGATCTTTGTGCCATCATTGACAATAGCCATAATATATGGATTGTTGTGCTTATTGTCATTATCAAATGAATCAAAGAAAATTCCCAGGCCTGTCCAAAGATCCGAACTACCAAAAACGGTACCATTATAGGCACCTTGGGCAGTTGTATACCAAAATGCTAAACCATCTGCTCCTATCCTTGACCGTCCACTTATACGGAATACTAAGTCTACCTCCCACCAGTCGAAAGTTACTGGTAGCTTCGACCATATTGCACCTAAATACAATATTTTTTTAAATTTTAGATCATTTTGCAAGAGAAAATGTTGTAAACTATCAATAATGTAATTAAATTTAATGTTATTTGTTTAAAATTAAAATTATATTTTAAGTACTTAAATCTCTTTTTTTATAATAGCAAAATTTAAGATTTTTTTCTCATACAATAATGTTGAAGCTTTTCATCATAATATTTTTATGAAAAATTTTATGTTAACATTGATAAATTTCTAATATATATATTTCTATACAAACCTTTTTGACTTTTAAGTGACGGTGCTACTCTGACATTTTCTGAACTAGCAATAGTATCTGTAATTTAAAATATAAATGTATTTTAAATGTCTCTAAACCTCTTTTTTTAATTGTTAATTAAATATATTATATATATTTACATATATACATACATTGTTAATTAAACATTTTACATAAATATATTTTATATATATATATTTCAGTTTATATATATTGTACGTAGAATCACATATGGAGTAATAATAAGTGATTTAATAGATAAATTAAAATAAATAAAACATATGCTTAATTAAATTCAACATATTTAACAATATTTCAATGATGAATATCTATTAGACATATGAAAGAAAATATATGTTTTGATTATTATATATGATACTTTAATATATATATATACATTTCATTTATTAAAAATAATCTTTTCATACAACAAAAAATTCCATTTTCCATTCATCTAATTAAAAAAAATACATAAAAAAAATTATTAAGAAACAAACGCTCGCCAGTTAATAAATATCTTTTTCTAAAAAACATCTAATTATACGCAGATTAGAGATCAATGCAATTCTGCCTCAGGGATGATTTTTTATATTATTTTTACACGCATACGAGAAACGTGTATGTACACACGTCATCAGTGTTTTGATCTTTTAAAGTAATATGCGTATAACGCGTTACGCATTAAAGAGATGGCGATTCAGGCGTCGCTCGTCTTGGAGCTCGAAAAAACTCGAGAAAAAGGAGGACTCAAATCCTCTCGACATAAATTGACGCCGCACGAGTACAACATACGGAACGTCAGCGCGACAGGTGTCGACTTCTTGGTTAGGTTACACGCGACGAGTCGCGATATACTCACTTCCGCCGTATTCCCAGAACGGTACGGTGCCGTCCTTCTGCGCGAGATACGGTGGCTTGAACGAGTACTTGTACTCGAATTTCCGATGCGGCGTCTCGCCACAGGAGAACGGGACGGCGCACGATATCAAAAAGGCCAGGAGCCACCTCACCTCGGCGGCCATTTTCATCGCGATTGTCGACGACGGCGATCGTCGCTGTCGGTGGTTGTCGACCGACTACTCGCCGCTTTCGGGCGGAAGCCGGCCCGTGCACGCCGGTCCAAATCGTCGACGATTGGCTGAACGCGCGAGATTTGGCAGCCGTGATTGGTGAGCAAATCATATGACGTGTTGCTTTCGTGGCCAAATTTCTAAAATTTCATTTAATTCTTCCTCTCCCTGCCTTTTAAATCCATGAATCAAGTCTGTTCGCGTTGCTTGCACTTCCGAAAAATTCCTACATTTGAAGTGAGATGAATATGTCTTCGAGCGTTAAAAAGAGGAAAAGAATACGAGCAACGCGAACAGATCTAGTACTTTTGAATGAAGCAAGTTTGATCGCTTTAAAAATGATTAACTTCAATTTGTCATAAACGTATGTTCCAAAAAATGGGCTTTGAATTAATACAAATCTCTGATTAATACAAATAATATACTAATAATTCAGTCTTAAAAAAGGTATGTAAAGTTGATTACTTTTTGTTCCAAAGCAAAGATTCTTTGCTGATTAATCGATCAAACATTTATATTATACTTAAAATATATTTCACTGATTAATCTATAATAATAATTCAAGTGTTTTTAATAATACGACCAAATTTATGATGTCATTGATCGTTTTCAAAGCAAAACTTGTTCATAATATATTGAAGAAATTGATTACATATGCACTAGAATATAATTCCTCAAGCAATAAATTTTTCTTTAATTCTTGTATTCGTGACATTATTTAAATGCATTATTAACAAGAAATTAAATAAAGAACAATAATCTATTTTAAACACAGCGCATAAACTAATATTTTAAACCTTATACACATGTTAATTTGAATATTAAAATATCTCTTAGAAAAATAACGTCACAAAAAAGAATAATCTAAATATAAATAATATATGTATGATTCTGACGTTTGACCTTATTTTTTTACGATTTCCAGAGCAATTTAATTTAATATCCTATTTACGTAAATATCTAAAAAAATAAATTAGAATATTTTTTACACGTTATAATGGCTTTCGTGACAATTTTATCGAAGAAGACACGGATTATCTTTATTGTGATCAATCTTCTCTGTTTTATTGCCTTGAACCTGTTCTTTTTATCTGCACTGCTGCACTAGTGCAATTAGAGTGAAAGAAAGTATGTTTGTCTCTTTCTAACTTATTGCACTAGTGTAGCAGTGCAGCTAAAAGGAACAGACCTCTTGTCGCGTAGGTAGTCGGAACCGCCATCTGATTCGCGTCGATAGTCGATGACACACCGTTGTCCAAGATGGCGTCGCTCATCGACAACTACGAACAGCAGTACGCCGTTCTGACAGCTGACATTACCGCAAAAATCGGCCGGATTAGAATCCAGAGCGGCGGTAAGAAATCATCGAAACGCGATTAAACGCGTCGTAAAGAATGCGCTTTACAACGTGTTCGATGCACAAAGCGATTGCCACGCGAGATCGGCCTTTAAGAATGTCAATCGATACACGTGACGTAATTTACAGGTGAGAAAAGGGCCTTTATTCAAGATGTGGACCGGCAAATTGAAGAGGCTCAAGAATTGGTAATTTCAATTTACATTCTCTTTTACATTATAATCTCAAAGCAAAGTCCTTGGAGATCTCACCTTGTCAATTATCGAAAGATGCGTAGTGTGTTGTGTAGGGTTAGAAAATTATTTCATTATTTTATAATTATATTAAATTATTTTATAATTATATTAAATTATTTTATAATTTATATAAGCTTTTTTTGTAAGAACTTGACGTGATACGTTGTAAAAAGCATGTATACAACATTAGATGTTTTTGCGTTCAATAGGTATGATTATGTGTTGACTATTGAAAGACTGATTTACATAATGTTTATGATTGAAGCACGAGGGTAATGTGTTTTGCATGAATAATCTAAAAATCTAAATGAGATCACAAGTGTCTCTGATGTATGATACTTGAAGCAGTTAAATGGATTTTTTAACGGACTGCAAAAGCTTTAGATTTGTAACTTCACATTTTTTTTATACAAATGTTCAATTTTAAAAATCAATTTTTCCTTAACAAAGATATATTGAATTATTGTTTGAAAATTTCAAACTTTTTAACTTTTAATGGATATTGACAAAATTTTATTCTCTCCATTTTAAGTAAGCATTCAAAGAATTATACTTATAGATAAATTTTTATGGAAATGTTAAATATCAAAAAAGTATATGAAAAAATGTTTAATTTATTACATTTGAAATAGTGAAAAATTGATTTTACAATTGAAGCAACAAAATTAAAAATATAAAAATAAAAAATAAAAATAAAAATTAGGATAGGCTATAAGTAGTCTAATAAAATCAGAATCACAATTATGTGTTTAAATATGTTTATCTCTTCTCTTCACTTTCATTTGCAATATTTTATTACAAAATATTTGTCAGATCAGAGTCTATTTAACTTGCAGCTGGAGCAAATGGAGTTGGAAGTTCGTGGGATAAATGGAACTGCTCGTGATCGGCTGCGCGGTCGTGTAGAAAGTCACAGAGCGGAATTAAAACGCTTAACGCAAGAGTTTCAAACGGCGAAAAAACCAAAAGAGGACGCGATAGAGATAACAGTAGATGAGTCATGGGACAACAATGTAACAGAAGACCAAAGAAAAAGACTATTGGATGCATCCGAGAGGATAGAAAGGACAGGACGCACGTTACAAAATGGTTATCGTATGGCGTTGGAAACAGAGGAAATCGGCTCTCAGGTGCTAAAGGAACTTCACGAGCAGCGAGAAACGATACAACGAAGCAGAGGAAGGGTAAGATATTGATTATACAATTATGAAGTATAAAGCATGAAATCGACGCGCCAATTAAAAAAAGTACAAAATAATATTAATATTAGTGCATAATAACATTGTCCCTTGTTTTTCAAGTTACGCGAAACGGATGCAGAATTAGGGCGCGGGTCTCGATTATTATCAGGGATGATCTTTCGGAGCCTTCAACAGAGAATTATCTTAGCAGCGATAGCATTAGTACTCATAATTGTCGCGTGCATTGTGATATATTATAGTTTTAAATCTAAAAGTTAAAGAGAACAAAGGTATTCTCTTCGGCCAGATCCATCAGATGTGATTTGGAAGTTATATTTATTTGAAATCAGAGACTTCAAAATATGTTATTTCTATCAAATTGCGAGGTTAAGTAATTATGTATTATATATATATTATCTATCTTGTACTTGTTTGTTACATTTTGCCACAAAGAACCGATCTTCGCTATATCTACATATTTTATCATCAATTCATCTAAAACTACATTGGATGACTGAATGATAATTTTTCCTTAAACAAAAATCAGCATAGCAAACATCTAAATTTCTTAGATGAAAGCTAATTATAGCAAACGAGTACAAAACTGGCAAAATGTTACCAAACAAGAACAAAAGATTCCCATTCAGTGTTATTTAAAATCTTATATAAAAAAATATTGACCCATTCTCGTAGGAAGATAAATCTTATAAAGCGGTTTCACTATTCTTTTCTATCTGCGCAACAAAGATAATTAGTGTCCGTCGAATCAGTGATTATCAAATGCATTATTTTCGTATAGCGGAAAGAATCGTAAAATCGCTTCTATATTGTTATCTCGTTAACGTCTGGAAGATCGGTGGTAAACACTTGCCCTACGTTCAAGTTTCGAGAAATACTCCGAATCACAAAATATATATTCAACAAGAAATGTATTTATTAAGTAATATTCAAGGTATTTTTTTCGACGTTGTTGTGCGCGCCGAATCTATTGGGCATATTGAAATATTACCCCTTCGAATTAACAACTACATGTAATTGTTGTAACCTTGACCTGAGCCATAATCGAGCGAGTTCATTAACGGACTCTATCAATTAAAAATGCATTCTATAATTTATCTTATATGAGAATAACAACGGTCGCGGTGTGTACATTGTTGAGATTTACGTAAATAAGGATCGAGTTGTACATACATCCATTACCGAAAGTATCAAAGGATGCTTGTAATTGAGAAAGAGAGAGAAAGAATGAGAGAAACTAGACGCGCCTAATAATAACTCCTTTTATTATTTTTAATGTTATCAATTACCTTAATTAGCCTAAACGGTGCTTTTGTCTGCAACCCTCTAATGTACCTGTGAAAATGATATATAATAAAAGTATCGAGGGTTAACGAATATTTTCGATGATAATAGTGACTTTGATAAGAGAGGCAGCGGCGGCGAGGAAAGGCTTTGCTTCCTTCTCTATCATCTTTTTTTTTTACGATCAGTGCTGGTATGAGCGAACGATAGTACGCTGAGATCGCTCAGTCTGGTCAGTCCAATTGTTGATAGAGATCTTCTATCTGTGGCTTGAAATACGCTCTTAGTTGAGGCCGTTTCGATTTCATTGTTGGTGTTAGAAGCCCATTTTGTACGGAAAACGGGTCTGGATGGAGATAAATATCTTTCACCTGCGTCCGAAAATAATTGAAAACCTCATTAAATTATCCAATTATCGTCATTCTTTGAAATTTCACATTTAAACTTTTCGAACTTTAATTCTGATTTTTAATAATATATATAATCTTCCAGGAATTATAAAGCAGAGTACGATTAAAAAAGACCTCTCTTTGACTCGCCCAAATAGGAGAAAGAGAAACAGAAGAGAATAAGAAACGATAATTTACCTGTTCGAAGGACTTGAGACCAGCTTCTTTTCCCCACGTTAACATATCATCTATGATTAGTTTTTTGACTTCTGGATTAGCGCATAAGACGCTTAGCGTGCCGGGTATACCATTTTCCACCGCCCAACACTTGACTACGTCTACGTCTGGCACTACTATTGCTATGATACAAGATTTCAGTGACTCCCCATGGACGAATACTTGTTGCACATATTGGCTGCGTATATAGATATTTTCGATCTTTTCCGGCACGATATACTCTCCCTGCGATAATTTGAAAATATGCTTCTTCCGGTCGATTATTTTTAACGTTCCATTCTGGAAGAAATTTGAAGGAAATTTAATTTTAAACTCTTGCAATATTAAAATCAAAATTATATATCTTTTTTCTCTTAAAAAAGAATTCCAATCGTTTCGTATTATATATATATTATTTATTATAAAAATCTATGGAAAAGGAATGAAGATTGATCAGCTCGATCCATCAGATCATTTTTATCATGAGAATAAAAATTCGCGACATTATGATTGTGTGCAAAGTAATTACTCACAGGCTGCCACATGCCAATATCTCCCGTGTGATGCCATCCCTGTTCATCAATCACCTCGGCAGTCTTTTCGGGATCCTTGAAATATCCCATGAAGACGTTGGTGCCCTTGACGCACACCTCGCCCTGATTATTCGTCGCATAGTATTCCATTTCCGGAACATCGGCGAGCTTGATGCAACAGCAAGCCACCGGTGGTCCCACATGTTCCGGCACGTGATCGCCCTGCATTTAGAGATGAACAAACACGTGAATTAAAAAGAATCATTTCATAGAGAACATACGTCACTTTATTCATCAGGATCGAATATATCAGCGAATACTTTGTACGTATAACACATGCTACGTATACAAAATCTATAAGATACACACACACACACACACACATATAAATGAATGGATCGATGCATTTTACGATGGAATACGAGGTGCATTCAATAACGTAATATGTAGCTAATGGTCTTGTGATAGAGGTGGCATGCCTGGCACGTGGCTCTAAAGCTTTGATTCGATGACAGAAATATCTGCAACTGCGTGCGCGCGACTATACTACAGTTATGTCGATATCTCGCAGACGCGCCAAGAATAGAGAGGAGGATACGTATCACTTGATTATTAGTCAGTATTCAATAAAAACAACATTTTGGAATGCCATCAATCTGTCAGCAATAAATATTCTCCCATCGCTCTCTCTTTAGAGATCTTTCTTAAAATAAATTATCGATTATAAGAAGAAAGAAAAGAAAAAACAAGTATCGAATTACAATCAAATTGTTTACGAAAGAATATTGTGCACATGAATAAACTTCACTATTCTATACTTTTACTATGCTAACTTTTCGCGGTACATTAAAAAGTTACGTAGTAAAAAGTTGATGTGTAACTGTGCATTTTTTCACAAACATGTAGTAAAGAACGAAGTTATTAATTTACATCTAAAATTGATTAAAGTGTCTATAAAGCGTTTGTGTCAAGCTATACTTGTTCAAGCTCTTTCGCAAGTTTATAATGATAAAAAAAGTATTATAAATTTACTAAAAATACATAATTAAGTGGAAAATAGTTTTTCTCGAAGAGAATTTTGTCCGTGCAAAATATATACAATCATCTGCAATCGATATGTTTGTAAATTATCCTGTTAAAATTATTTGATTTTGCCTGCCTTCGTAATTGAAGATCGAATTGAACGCTGATGCAATGAACGATCGAGCATCGCGATTTGTTTATTTACGAAAAACTCGATAATTGTATAAATCGATTGTCTATCGAATAAATATTCGGGCAAAACTTTACGGAATTTCGCAAACATACACACAACGGAGATCTATATCTCTCTATTAAAGTTTTCCGCATAATACTGGTTTTGTCGCATTGCCAAACGGCGTTCGATGAGGTATTCGCTTTTCACAATATTCGAAACTCAAACTTGCTTTGAGTTTGACACTGGCAGAGAGAAACAATAAAATTCTTTATTTCATCGGTAAAACTATAGGCTTGTCACGAGGCTTTGTATTTCTTTCAACATAGTTTCGCATTTATAGACCATAGAAATTCTTTGTAATAAATAAATAATACATACATATCCGACAACTGAATGCGCATTATATAAGAAATAACTTTAACATTTACTCCAAAATTTATCTATACTGCCATGCATGATTCATAGCACGCTTACATTAACGTTTATCAGACTTGGTCTTATAAAAAATGTATTCCTGGAGTATTTATTGATCGCTTACATAATTGTCGTTAGCAACTATGTATGATCGAAAGGTCTCTATAATACCTGATATATATCTATATTTATGTATTTTTTCTTTAAACATTGCCGTATAAAATATTAATGGTCTTATAGACATGCAACTATCACCAAATACTTTTTACCTTTTCTTTTCTACTTTTCTTCAAATAGAACAATATAAAAAAAAACTGGCACAATTGTATTATTCAGTAAAGAAATACAATTGTCTACAAATTCAGACAGAGGGAGAAAAATAAAATATTAATTAAACAAAATAAATGGCATAAATAAAATATATAAAAGAAAATACATGTGTGTATGAAAATGAATAATTTACATAAAATAAAATAAATAACATAATAAAATACAAAGGAAAAAAATAAAAAAAACGTTTAATGTTGACGTAAAATGACGTAAAAGGAGCAACAGAAGAATATAGTGCACAGAATGTAAGGACCGCGATACAACATTTTGACACCACGCTATCTGAAATTTCTCGAAGACCTTTGTGAAAATATCACATTAAATTTACGACTGAGGGCCGTAAATCCGCGAAAACGAGTCTTTCGACGACTGACATTGTTATTGTACGAAAATACGAACCTGAATAGTAAGCGTTATTGGCGCACTACATTCCGTCTGACCGTAACCCTCGACTATCACGCAACCCAAGGCGCATCTGGTGAATGTGAGCACGTTCCCCGCCAGCGGCGCGGAACCCACGAGCATCAGTCTCAATCTGCCACCCATCGACTCCTGGATCTTCCTGAACACGATCTTGTCCCATATGCTTGTTGTCCTGACGATGCTCTTCTTGATCTCCGTCTCCTTTGCCCGCATACCCATATTAAAGATCATTCTCTTTAGGAACGAGCTGCGAAGCTCAGTGTGCACCTGCAGACACGAATCAGGAATAAAATAATAATGAAAAAAGATGACATGAGCAATACAGAGCATGACGCACATATTTTCCATGCATATTATATTATATTTTTAGATCGTATTTTCTACCAGTTTTCTAATAAACCCGTTATATGAGATGCGTCACGATCAGCTATATTAATATCTCTCGTATGTTTTTCCCACTTACAAGCAATAATATTTTTCTCCGCGTCATCAAAACGTTATCGCACCTCAAGTTTGGCCATCCGAGATAAGATATTTTTGTTATCATTAGCGAATGATTATAAAACGGAAAAGAATCTATTTGGACAGCTGCGATTAAATTCGATGTCACAGTCTTACCAATAATCAATAATCAATAGTCAAGCGATGATAAATGAAATTATCACCTGCAAATTCAGTAGCGAAAACAGAAAGGTTCGAGATTATCTAAATTTATTCGCTTTTCTATTATCTTTTATCGGAGACGAAAATCCATGCGATATGTATTACATGACTTATCCATTAAATTTTATTCATTGTCAGCAAACTGGGCATTTATCAACGGTCGAAATCTACACATATTGTCCCGCAGCATCACTAGCAGAAGATGCGTGACTGCTGGCTTTTTTTGTCGACCGTATTTTTCAGAGCTCGGATCAGAAGAGGATCGCGCACAACAAAAAATACGACGCGTAATTCAACGACACGTTCACGCGCGTGTGTCCCATTCAGATGAATGTCAGAATTAACGTTGAGGAGTCAATTCCGCACCTGTTCCATTCCTGTTTGCGCGATATAGGGTTGGCATGTCATGAATTATTGCACAGCCGTAGAAAATTCACGAGACGTGCCAAGTGAGCTCTACTGCAATTGGGGATTGCAATAACGATGTCCAATTATCCTTCATTTAAGGATTAATTATAGAAAATTTGAAATGAAGCGAGAGACAGACGGAATATTTCTATTACATTGTTAAGATTAATATTATAAATTAAAAGTGAGATATATATATTTATAATTCGACATATATATATGAAGAAACATACCGAATGAATTATAAATTGTATCAAGATTATAGACATTTAAAAATATGTTTTTATTGTCGAGCGTTGCACGTGAAGAAGGCTATGAAAGGCAAGTTTATTTAGGTTTAATGTCGTCGTACAGTATGCTATTATCGCGTTGTAAAAATATTGAATAGTGTCCAAGAACACGCAACTTCCGTTTGACACAATGGACCATATGCTAGTAATAACAATTATGCCAAATAAAAATGTGCAAGGAAATTCTGTGAATTCTTCGAATTCTGTAAACTCTTCGAATTCTGTGAACTCTGTAAATTTTTTTGAATTCTTTTAATTAAAAAAAAAACATCAAGAAAATACCCACAATGCCACGTAAAAGATGTCGGTTGTTTTTGTATGTAATTTACGTTATAGATTTCTTTTATTAGATACATATGATATATAAAATAGAATTAATGTTTACAAACCATTCTTGCAACATAAAGATTAAGAAAAGATATGCAGTCTATGCTATATCAATTTCTGAAAATAAATTATAAATGTTCAGTATTTTGTTAATAAATTATATGTACTTCAATTAATTATTTATTAATTATTGATTATTAATTATTGAAATATTCAAATAATAGGGCCAATCAAATCTTATTTACATTGATAATTAATTTCACAGAGCCTATAAGTATCATAAATTATATAATTCTATTAGGTTATTTTTGAGAATGAATTTTTAGAATTATTTTTATTTTTCAGTTATATATATATATATATATATATATATATATATATGTATGTATGTATATACAGTCAGAAGTGTCAAAAAACAAAATGATATATGACTGCAAAACATAACACATCTATATCATGTAAATCCAACAATCGATCGAAAGTGCGGACTAAATATTACGTATCGTAGATAAAATATAAACAGCAATAAATTATTTGAAATAACCCATGGTAATAAAGAGAACGCAATCATGCGATATTTCAGAATTAATTCTCAAGTAGTAGATGTACTCATTGTCAGACATAAATAGCGTACAAGTGTCTTCTTCATAAAAAGTCATAAATTTTTCTAAAAAATTACAATCCCCGTTTTTCCTCCTCGCTTCTTTTTTTATGTATAATATATAATCCTATCTTTATATACATTGTATATACAATCCTCTTATTACCTTTCAGCTCTCTTGAGAATAATAAGAGTGTGTGGCATTAAAAATTTAATATGAATAAATTGTCAATCGCTCGACTCTTAATAATTGCAAATAAAGTTCGATGTATAACCTTTTAGAAATTTTTTTTTGTTCCGAATGACAACAATAGAACAACAAAGTGTGTCTCAATAATCGCTCACCTTATCGTAAATCCGATTCAGCAGCCTAGGCACTGCTGGCATAATGGTAGGTCTGAGGGCCTTCATGTCCTCAGGTAACTTTTTGATGTCACCGCTATAAAAGCCGACGCAGCCGCCCATCATGTAAACGGTATTCTCGCAGCAACGCTCCAGCATGTGCGCCAATGGCAAAAAGCTGATTAGCGTATCCTTGCTCGTCAGCCCGTGATCGCCCAACTGCAACATCACCGAACAATTGGCCGCCATGATGTTCTGATGCGTCAACATAACGCCCTTTGGATTGCCGGTGGTACCGGATGTGTAACATATCGTGCAGAGATCGGACGGCTTCGGCGGCAATTCCGGATGATTCTTCTGGGCGCCGAGATGCTCGATATCATCGAATCTGTATAACTCGACGCCGCGGTTTTTCGCCCGCTGATTCGTCGCCGGCCGTGTCTCCTTCACCACCACCAGCTTACGTAAACACCTGTCAATATCGAAGGAAAATTGACGTTAAATATGACAGGAACAACAGAAGATGAAGCTTTTTCAGCCGGACAAGAGTCGCTTGTCCGCTTTGAAAGCTCTTGCGAGTTCTTGGCAGCTTTACAAATTAACACTTCCAATACCACGCTGTCTTTCTAAATGTTTTCTTTGAGAAAAGCAATGATCCGAACCACATCTTGTGAGGTCGCGTGACGTTGCGTCATGGACAAAAACTTGTTATAAAAAGTATTGGTAAAATTATTTATATACACTACATATTTATATATGCTCCTGCTATATATTTATATATTCCTATATGGATTATGTCGAAGAACATGTAATCAAAGTGTCATTAATGTTGTCGTTAAATTAATCGTTGTTATTAATATTGCAATCATGAAGGCACTTTGCATGTATTTTTAAGCATGGGTTTTGCGAAATTGATTTCCTTTTTTCTGGATATTATTTCGCATAAATATATTAGATCAAGTAATGATTCTCTTTCCATATTCGCTGTTTAAAAAGAAATTATGCCTTGTAATCTATACACATGTACCTATATATATAGATAACTATACGTTTTTACATAAATTATCCGATATTTACGCAATCGATATCAACAGGGAAATTACATTATGTACGATTCTCTAGTGTATGCTAAATGAAGTGTTGTTTAATTCTTAAATCGGTAACTCTACTAATATTCAATAACGTTGATAATATTCCTAAATTGCGTATACTTATGCAAAATGAATTTTCCATGAGAATGTATATCTGTATCGTGTATATGTTTACATGTTGCTTAGCACTTTGAATAATTGATAATTAAACCAATTAATCGACAGTGATAAGTAGAAGAAAATAAAATATAGGCATTTTAAAATTAGAAGAATTTAATAGAGTTAGGTGATTGTTCAAAGAATTGAAGAACAATTTAAGATATTTAGGAACGGTTCCTAGTACGGTTTTTAGAGAATTCTCAACGTTGTCACATACCTCGGTGCTTTGTCGAGGAGTAAATTGCACTTTTGGTCATCTTCGCATACCACCAAATTAATTTCAGCTTGATTGATGATGTACGCGCAAGCGTCCGGGCCCAAGGTGTCGTATAATGGCACCACCACGAGCGAATATGTATAGCATGCCTGCTCGACGAGAACCCATTCGGGACAATTCTGACTGTATAGGCCTACCAAAGTTTGTGATCCAGGGGCCAGCCCTAAGGACAATAGGCCGGAACCAAAATTCTTCGCCCTAAGTAGGGCTTCGTTGTAATGAAGCCATTGATAGGGTTTGTTGTACCCGTCCCTCCATCCGAGGCAGGGACCATTATCTGTAAATGAAAAGAATGTCGTATTGATCAAAGACAATAATTACTTCAACGCAATTGATAGATCTTATTAATACATTTTTTGACATATAACGCGATTGATTAAAATACGCGTCCGTTTATGCATCAAGAATAACATTGAAGGAAAATAAATTTCTTATTAAAACAACACTTGAGAAAAAATGTTTGATATTATTAATATTAATTATTAATATCACTTAAATATTAATATAAAAATACTATTCTATATTATAATTAAAATATATAAGTGTAATTTGTGGCATAATTAAAAATTAATTAAAATAGTTTTCTGTTACATTATTACATTTAATAAAATCGATTTATAAAAGAAATAATGCTACATTTTTATTTTTTCCGCTGTTATTCGGAACAGCATTCTATTTGATTATTAATGAATAATATTCAAGAAATTATGAATTAGAACACACAGAGAACATCTTAATAATGCATTATTTTTGTTTGTTGTCCAAGTTTGATATGAGAGGATAAAATCAAGAAATCTAGAAAATGGATAATTTTTTGTTTTCACTTTATTCTTTGCAAGCGAAAGAATAAAATTTGATAAAGAAAAAATACTTTTTTCAACACAAGGTCTTTTTAATACAGTTACGAATTATTTAGATAATTAGTTATTCATATATTTAAATTTTTAATTGTTTATAATTGTTTAAATACTATAATTCCTAACTGCATTAAAAACGCTAAAAATTCAGTAATTCAGCTCGTATTTTCCAAAGTTTCATAAATTTATGCATTTTCTCAAGAAAATTCTCAGGAATCTAAGACACACATGCAGGCCGATCTAATGAATAAATAATAGCGCACGTGTCGGGCTACTAGCCGTATGATTTTCTTGTCCCATTGTTATGTTAGGCGAGCGATACCTCGGCAAGATTATCGATCTTCGAACGTTTGCCGTCATCGTTAACGTCGTCATCGTTACAGGTCACATAAGGCTACGACAGGTGTCGGCTGCGGGGGCGTTGGTTTCGCGCGGCGAGGCGAAAATAAGAGATGTTATATACGTGCCCGAAATAACTGTCAACCTTCGTCAGAAAGGTCGTCGAATCTCGAGGGAGCATGAATCGCCGGCCGATAATTCGCACCGTTAAATCCACCGTTAAATCGTTTATTAAGAAGCCGCATGTTTACGCGTTTTATAGCACGATTTCGCTTGCCACGTCGTTTGCCAAACGAGAGTCCGCTAGATAAATCGACGTACGCAATTGCGCGCGGATGTGTGCGTAAACACTTAATGCCGCATCCGTAAACTTCACGAATATTGTAGAGATTTATACGATTTTCTCTAAGCCGCCTGCCTCTCCTTGAGTTATTCTCTCACTTAATTTCATCAGTCGACATTAAGTATATAACGCATACGTTAAATATCAATTGAAATTAATTGAGATGTATATAAGGGATCGATTAAACGCCACTTAACTAATTAACATGTTTAATTAAAGTTAAGTGAGCAACGACTATTTTCATTTTCGAAGATTAGAGTGAGAGAGGAAGAATTATATGTTGCTTCTGAAAATAATGACTCACTAGATTCCTTGGCGCCGCGACGGAAGCCGTCGTAAAGGGTGAGTGTATCCTCGTATAGGAACGTAACGAATTTGCCCTCTCTGCCCTCCTTGTAGAACTTGGATACTCGGATATGCTCGTTGCCCTGTGAAGAAAAGAGACGAAGAGTCAAGTAAAGCTCACACGAGATCCAGCACACACGAGGTCCGGTCGATCATTACGTAATCGGACATGCGACAAATGCAACACTAAATTTAGCCGGGCACACGCGGCTCCGCGTATTGTACGTATCAACGCGTGCGAAGCAGCTGATTACGAGACGCAAGGCGAAGGGCGCGGATGAAGGGATAGTTGTATATATCGTGGGAACCCATTCGCTGTACATATTCGTCCGTTTTCTATATATCGATCTCCGCCGCCGAGACCGACGCGGAAGACCGCTTCTTTCGGCCTCATCGATGTGCTTGTGTAACGACAACCACCCACGTTCTCGACGCACCAGTAAAGCGCGCGTTTCATATACAAGGTTAAAATAATCTATGTATCTTTGCAGTAATTTGCGGATTTCATCGCGAAAGATTTTATGAAAATGTGATATCTTTGAAGTTATAATCGTCGGGAAAAATAAAACGCTTTTTCAATACACAAGTATTACGTCGTTCGAAAATGTTTTTTTTTAAATCGAAACTTAAAGATTTTAATTTATAAGCACACAAGGTCTAACTTATAATCTCTGGAAAATAATCATTATGTTGAATAAATTTGTTTAAAAATGCATTGTAGTTTTTTGGTACATTTAATAAAATTTAAAAATATTAGTTTTTTCTCGATTTAATAAACGATGAAATCTTCGCTTTAAATTCAAGATTAAAATTTACTTTGAATTTTAATTTTTACTTATGTATAAAATATTTAGCATCTCAAATATAAATGTGAGATAAACTATAAATATAACGCGCAAAGTTAAAAGTTATCTAAAGTTAAGTTAAAAGTTATCCAAATATCACGATTCACTATATTAATAATCACAATGCAGTTTTATTATCTTATATCTTTGTGTAATTTATATATTACCTTTAGTAATTACGAGATAACTCATTAAAAATTTAAGATTGTAACGTGGTAAATAAGAAAATTCGATAATCATCTGTCACTGAAATGTACAAAAAATCTATACCCCATTATATTTAAACAAAAAAGATATATCTCATGTACATATAATTCATAAATTTCATTTAATTACGTTTAATTTCATAAATTACATTTAATAATTTATTTATTTATTTATTTAACGAAAATATTTAATATTTATAGTTTAGTAGTTTTAGTATTTGAGAGAATTTATATTTTGCGAAGTAACGAGTTCTGTCGTGAACTTCGAAGCATGATTACAATCGATTACTCCTGAACGAGAGGACAAACGCATACGCGCATCTACGCGTAATCGCGAGATCGTTTTTTTTTCCACCTTGAAGCCTTGATCATCACCTTGATCGTGTCAGATTGATCGCCGAGATCTATCGGCGGGTGGATCGGCTCGGGAAGCAAGCAGGCTGACGACATGCTGCTTAACGGCACGTAACACGCACTCTTGATGGGCGCGCACACGCCGTCGGGCTCTTCTCTCAAAAGAGATCGGTCTCTTCGACACAGGCAGGTATAAAAACGGATTGGACCAGCCGGACCAACGCGCCCGCGGTCACTGAATTCAAGCCGAGCTTGTGATCGAGCTTACGGTCCGAATTTTTGGCTCGCGACGCGGATATCACGCGGATGATGCTGCTCGGCGCTGCTTTTCGCAGGGAAAAGATGTGCGTCATATTGTCAATATTGTCATCAGACATTTAAACAGGTCTATCCCGGTATAAAGTTAATATCACGAAATTACTGGAAACATCAGGAAGTTTGAATATATATAATTAATACCCACACATATATAATTATTGTACGGAGAAACTTTGATACTTGGGTCATTAGTGCGACATTGAAGCACAATTATGGTATTAAATCAAATTGGAATACTTAGTTAATATACTCGAGCGATCATTTGTTAAATAGGAACTTTCCTTCTTTGTTAGATTTAAATTACTATGCATGATTTAAAGTTTCTCTTCTCTAATTAAAATCACTTAAATTTCTTACAAAGACTAAAAAGAAATTGCCAAGACTTAATTTTAATTATATACTTATACTTATTTTTTCTAAAATCCCTGACCAAAAATATAAAATAAAAATTTAAATTCACAGATATTTATTAGAAATTGCTTCCTTTCTAATCGTATTACAATTTTCATATTATCGTTTCTAAAATCTTTAAATAAATAGCTTTTTTTAAATACGAACAAAAACTTAGAAATTAATCCGAAAAATTGATATATCCACTAAATATTATATAAATATAGAAAAAAATAAAAAGAAATTTAAAAACAAAAATAAACCAGAGATGTAAATCCTACAAGAAATACATAGAATAATAAAATATTATTAAAAAAATATATATATATTTTATCATTATTTTATTTTTTATTTTATTTTTATTATTTTATTTTTTAATGATTGTATAATTCATTAAAAATGTTTTTAAAGATTCTCGATAAAAAACAATATAGCATATAAACAAGCAATGAATATACGGACTAGACTTCCAATGATTAAATAGATCATGTTCGTATCAGTTCTAATAAAGTGCAACAGAAGTTTCTTAATTGCTGAGGAATAGAGATATCAGTTAGTCAGTTTAGATATTTATATCCGCGCGTATGGTTTCGGTATCTTCCTTTCATGTAAAATGTCAAAACCCTGCAATGCAGACTTTTGTCTATTTTTGATTTTGTGTTTTTTTTATGTATCGTTCACATAGACAGAGACAGATGTTGAAAGTACTCGGATTATATATTCAAGTGCATGTTTGTTTCTTTCTATTGTGTAAATATCAGAAATTAAATGTCGCATTTAAAGAGCGAAAGTGAGTCGATCGGATCCAAGCAGTAGAATTTTAAAAAAATTCCGGATAATATATAATCCTCTGTTTTCATCAATTGTTGATCTGACAGATTTCTGATTGTGTAAAAATGGAACCGTATAATTTAAATCGCAACATTCGTATTGACAGCACTAGTGCGACACCGACCGGCCTCGCGAAAGCATGAAGGCCTATTCTACACATGAAGATCCTCGACTATGCGTTTAAATATAGTCGTCGTCCTCGAGGAGTTTGGACGATCGCCAGCGGGAGTTTGGCCGATAATTTTCGCGGTGTTCCTTTTCTTTTCGAGTATCGTTTCTCATCGTGTGAGCAGATAACTTCTAAAAAGTTCAGGGTAATGTGTTATTACGTTGACAGATTACGTGGAAAATGTGCCGAGCCCACTTGAAGACTGAGCGCTTGTTTCATGGATCATTTGCTATGTAACGTGAAAACTTGCACGATACATAAAGCAGGTAACGTAGAATATATATTGTTACAAAATATTATAAATTGTTGAACATATTAAAAAAAATTGCATTAAAGATAATAAGAAATTCTAGAATTCTTCAGAATTCTGAGTTTTTTTCTGAACTATTTAGCTGTCAAATTAATTAGATCTTTGTAGGCTTCTATTGCAATGTCTTTCTTAAGAAAATATTTTTTAGAATGACAATAAATTAAATATTTGTAAATATTATTAAATATTTATAAATTAATTAAATAGATTATAATAAATTAAATAGAGTTTAGTTTGATCGATTGATGAGGAGCAATAAAGTATTCAGAAATTAGAGATGTTTGAATAAAAAATTATGAGCATTAAGAGAAAATTAACATGTCAATAGTGACGATCTCCAATCAAAAACATATATAATGCATAGAATGTTTACAGTTTAATTATTTCTTTCCTCTTGAATCATTTTGTTTTCCTTAAGTTCTTTAAAAAATTTTTTAAAGCCTATTTTTATTTTTATTATTCTGTTAAAAAAACCTATTAAAAGATATTCTATTAGATATTTTAAAACATTCTTATGGAACGATCAGAATAGAGAATAGAATCAAATGTCAATTATTCGTTTCGATGATTCGATGATTGAAGTGTTCAACTAATTGTATAGTTATACATCATTTTAAAGGCCAATATGAACCATTGATATATAATCTTATATCCATTAATATATATATATATATATATATATATATATATATATATATATAATGCAATGACTAATTCTTTGGAAACGTTAAAGCTTGTAACTTTATAAAAATTTAATAAAAATAGTTGACAGTATGAAATATCAATCTAATAATACAAATATTTACGTGTAAACATATAATATCAATCTAAAAATACAAATATTTACGTGTAAACATATATTCGGTGATTCAAAAAAGCGTACATCGAGTTTATCAAAATCGATATCTTATTCCTCGCGACGACAGTCAGAGTCTGGAGAAAAGCTTATGTAAACCGAATCGAGACGAGGCGATTGTAAAGTTAATCTGGAAAGCTCATTACATATATCTGTAGTCAGGCTTCGAAAATAACTTTAATAAAAGTATCATTTAACACCATTTTGCAAGGGATTCCGCGTGATGCTAATATCTTTGTAAAATATATGTACTTTGTCCGATGAATAAATCGCGAACATGACATACAAGTGTTGCGGCTAATTCAATAAACACGAGAAAAAAATGCAGGAAATGTCTGCAGGATATCTATTGGCAAATTGATGATATGACTTCAAAGAATACGCGTATTTCTATTGCTTGCATATGATTTTAATCAAATACATATATATATATATATATATATATATATATATATAATATACATATATAATATATAATATATACTTATTTTTTGTTAAATATAATTAAAAAATCAAAATTTTTTAAAATGGCAATTGAATGAAATACTTTTCAGAATAACAAACAAAGTTTGACTACAATATTTCGCTTACAATTTTAATTGAATAAATCTTTAATAATTGCATTAAATATTTAAAAATTATAGATTTACTATAATTTCTTTATGTATAATATTTACATAAATATTAAAATGTATATATTGTATATTGTGATAAAAATAAATCTAAAAGAATTAATAATAATATATAAAGTCAAATATAATATAAAAATATAAATAATATTGTATAAAATATATATATATATATATATATATATATATATATATATCTTTGCATATATATAAATAAAAATGCAATATTATTATTAATTAATAAATCGGAAATTAATAGAAAGAGAGAGAGAGAGGGAAAGAGAAAGAGAGAACAATGCAAATGTAGATAACCATCGCTCTTACTTTCTATCTTTCCCTTCCTTCTTCTCTCTCTTTCCCTCTCTCTTTTTTCTATCTATATACCATATTTTTAATAAAAAAGTGTCCGATTTTTTAAATATCTTTCTTGAAATTTTCCATTAAATAATAAACTAATCTACGATGTCTCTTACGTAAGCTTATTAAATATATTTTCTAGCCAATAGGATTATATAAGAGACATCGTAGATATATTACTACCAATATCGCGTTGAAAACACATCAAGCAAATGATATCTCAGAACTATTATAAATATTTAATCGCTTCAAATTGTTTAAATAGTAAGTCAAGTTAAAGTAAGTCAAGTTAAGTATTCTTGATCATTTTTGCAATGACGTTCAAGATATGAGATTATTTTTTATAATCCTTTAATTTTTTTCGATAACAATACTATTTGCATTGTCATTGTATAGAACGCATAATTCAATACGACCATGTGGTCAAAGATAAGAATGATTGAGCTATACGAAGAAACAAATAATAAAACAAAATAATTTGTTAATATTTACTGACTAATGTTTAATGAGATACGTACGACTTGAAGGCATATTTTATCATCAATCATTACTGATAATAATATTATATTAACATATCTACAAGAGGCACACGTGCATATGTGTATGTGTATGTGTATGTAATAAAATATAATTATAAAAATCTAATATAATTAAAAATCAATTGATATGTGTACACATGCATGCATGATTATATAAATTTTTAATTATATGTCAATATACATCTAGGGTTAAGACATTTAGAGTCTAAAAAAAGAAAAAATTATCACATGAATTAATAGCATGTTTAGTGAGTACATCTGGGAAAAAGTTAATGATAAATTGTAATAGCACGTTTAACAATAATAAGTTTTTTATGCTTTTTTAAATATAATGATGTGTTAATAATATGTAAAAGTCATTTTCTGTTTTCCTCCTGTTTAACGCACGCTAATAATGCGATGTTCAAATACGATGCAATATTTATTCAAACAGCACATGTCTAAAAAACGATTTGAAGACGTCTTATTATCATTATTTTTTGTTCTTTAGCTTTTATTGTGTTGCCTAAGGAAAAATATTGATACATATTATGTGTAATTTCTTTTTCGAAATTATATATATTTAATTTTCGAAATATTTTCTAACTTATAAATTAGATCTTTATTTCTAAAGATATTTAAAATTTTTATTTACAATATCAATGATATACATTAATGTGCAAGCAAATATATTATTATATATAATATTATTTAAATATAGAATATTATATAGAATATTATTTAAATAAAATAGACAATATTTTTTCGATGAATGCGGAAATCATTTTTAAAAAGTATCAATGTGTGTCATATATTATAACAAAATGTAATCTAAACGATATATAATATACGATATATGATATTTTTTCTTATTTTGTGTGTACGGATTTTATATTCTCTAAAGAATATAATTATTTGAGAATTATCTGCATAATTTTTGAAAGACAAAGATAAATCTTCTTTCCTCTACTTCTTTTAACTAAATTTTTTTTAAATAAAAAAAATGTGGGCGACTAATATATATTCGAGCAGAAAATATGTATAATATAGTAAAGCTAAAATAAGTAATTAAGAATTAGAATGAGAATGAGAGATCAATTATAATGCAAGAGTAGAAATATTGGCCGCATATTGCATATGCATATATAAAATAGTTCACATAAGATGTTAAAAGCCATTCTTTTGAAAATTATTTGGCACAAAAGTCGGCAAAATTCTATCATTTGTTTCAAGGTTTTTTGATGTACATCTTTTATGTAATGAAGCAATATTGAACCAAAGAAAACCTACATATATAAAAGATACACATAGAAAACATACATATATAAAAGACTCTAATAAATATTAAAATAATAAAATATTACAATATTGAGAGAGAATTTTGTTACGTATTCTAAGTATTCTCCAAGAAAATAATTTAAGACACTTCACTATGAATTATTCTATGATGTATATAATGATGATCTGTATAATGATTTTCAAAAAACGTAATAAAATACGCTATATTTAATAAATCTATCCATAGCATTAAATCGTACTTGTTATTGTTTAATCGAAATGAGACATTATCAATGAAACGTCACGTTCTCGTAATTTTCCACCGATAAGCAGAGTGCAACGATATATAATCAAAGTATGCAAATAAATTAATCTGCTTTAATAATCATTTTTTCTTATTTGTTTGCAATACGCGCGGCATATATTAACAATCATTTTTATTCATAAGTGTTTATAATTCCTTCATATTCAATTTCACGTCGCACATACATATGTATATGTTTCAAATGTTGTCAAAAAATTGTTATTATCATAATCATGTATTTATAATAATATTTTTTATTTATCACACACGTATAATACGCTTTGAATTATTCATTAATTGTAAGATCAAATTGCACTAACACTATTTTGGATTTAAGCGAAACTTAAATATGTGTCTATCTTTATCTTTCTTTCTAAATAAATAAAGACAGACACATATTTAAATGTCGCTTAAGACTAAAATAAGATTGCAATCGAGTCTAAAAGCTGTCAGATAAATATTCTCTTTTCTTCGGTAAAATCTCTCGATCTTTAGATTGCTTAATAATGTGCAATACGTAAATCAATTCATTAAATCCCTGAAAATTGTGTTGCATTAAAATATTCCCATTTCTTCAAAATCTTTCGACCTTTAGATAAGAAAATCTTTTGATAGCAATTTTAAGATAACAGAGATATGAATCGGTGTTGCAATATCAAAAACACCTGTTCGATGTAACTTTAAATTTCGAAACGGCACGAAAATTGATTTATTTCTCTTAGTTTTTTTTCCTTCTCGTAAAACGAAACAGGTATATGTTTGAGATGAAAAGGAAAGAAAGAGAGAGAGAAGGAGAGACATCATAGAACAGTGCGTAGGAGGAATGGCTAATAGATCGAATCTATTTTCGTTTAGATCACAAACATCTTAGAGCAAGAGATAACATTCAATCACGAAAGAAGTAACGACCGACACGTGTTTCTGTTCCTCACTTACCGGTAGTATCAATGCCTGGGCATCGAGCGGAAAGAGCGGTCTCTCGGCCTTTGGTCTGGAAGCCCAATAAGCCACCCCGGTGACGAAGAGAGCACCAGCCGCGCCGCCCAGGTATGGCAGGTAGTCCTCGATTTGGGACTGTAACACTTCGTTTAAAATCGTTTGAACCGTTCGAAACTATACAGTCAGGCTTACGTAATTGGCGCCCCGCTCACATTACCTCCATACCGATGGTACGGGTGCAGGTAGACAGGTGCAGATACGAAATATCACTACTCCCGCGAGAGTTGCCCAACGACTTTTGCTAACGATCGACGAGAGTAACAACAAATACGCTCTCAACAACTCGAAGAATCGAGATGAAGTGAGCGTTCAAACTTGATAGTCATCTGAGCTCGAAGTCCAAGTCCTATTATTTATATGTCTATAGACCTTGTTCCCGGATATCTAAGCTCGTTATCGCAAACTGGTAAAACTATAATACATATACATACAAATAGCTGCGACATTCGAATATATATTCCGATATCAGTTGTACAACATTGTAATAGAATAAGGTCACTTTTTTGAGCTGATATAAGCGTGAGAATGCTGGTCTCAAATAAAAAGAGCAAAGAAAAAGAAGGAATATTATAAAGAAAGATAAAGAACGAGCGCGTGAGATACCGGCATTTCCTCCGCACGCGCCCCTCGCATCTTGCACCGTCCACTAACAATAAGTCGATACAATGACAGCTGTGTACTCACTGGCGCAAAGAATAATAAGCAGGGGATGATCTCTCCTCCGTCGTGATCTGCGAAGGAAGCGCGAGCCGGTCGAACGTATCCGGGCACGAGGGCACGATTTGAGGAATCGGCGGATGAACGTGAAGGGAAACCGGAACGGATGGCGCACCCCGGGGACTGGTCGGCTTGACTGGGCCGGCAGGGAGGCTTAGGGTCAGGGCCACGGCATGACACTGCCTTTTCTTCGCAAACAAAGATTTCCCTCCTCGTTCGCTTGCTCGACGTACGTTACGCGATGCGGACCCTCACTGCTGGCGTAAACGCGGCGCCATGACGTCACCCCGCGCATACCGCGCGGTGGCGAGGACGGCGCGAATCGATGCCGGGCGCTGCGACGATCACCCTTCTTCGTCACCGCGACGACGGCGGCCACCCCGACCCCGACAGGACGATACTCGCCCCCGCATATGGCGCACGCGCGCGCAATCGCCGCTTATCGTCGCGGGATGCCAGCTGGAGGAAAATGTACGCTATGCATCTCTGCATTACCATATTGGTGTGTCCCTTACCCCTATCTTCCAGTTGGCTATTTTGTTCTTTTTAATGCGTTGAAGAAGAATCACGACTGCCTAAACTAGAATCTATGAGAGGGCAAAATCTAAATTATACATTCCTCTTTCTTTGATGAAGAGAATTAGAAATATAATTTAAGGAAATTTATTGAACACGGTGTGGGAATATTATAAAATAAAGTATAAGAGTCATAAAAATATATGTATATGATTTATAATAGTATGAAAATTAATTACGTTGTATATAGAAAATATAGCAAATATTAGGTTAATATCTTTAAGGATGCATCTTTAAGGCAAAAAATTTGTTGTACATACTTGCCAGATAATATACAATTTTTGTTTAAACTTTTCAAAATTAAATTATTCAAATCATGTATTAAAATCTTTTGAATTACTTATATTTAATAATTTTATAAACTTTTATAAGCAAAATATATACATATATTTGTGCGGAGAAGAAAATGGGAACGATGCACATGTAATGTGTAATTAAAATTAATAACATTATAATTATATATGGCTCTTGATAAATTAAAATCACCCTTCGTGCTAATGCGACGTAAAGCTAGAAAGATCCTTTGAGATAACGAAATAATTCCTTGCCGTTATCGGAAGCGGTAAAGATACCTACTAGTATGATTAATACACAGTGTAGAATATCATATGTCAGGGTAAGTATTTGGGGTCGCTCAGTCGAGTGGTAGTCTGCAGTTGATAAGGGGATTCCAGGCGGTAACTTCGAAAGCTTTCATTGGTGGTTATTTGGAGAGAGCGGTCCTTCAACCGAGCTACTCATCTCCGAAGGACTCGACGTCCGCAGTTCAAAGTGAGATGGCATCGGTAATCGTTCGATCGTTTCTCCTCTAGGAAAGACGAATTGGCAAAAAACAAAACGTTAAAAAAGTATTGTACATACTTCCATTTTATTGACAAAAAATGGAAATCTTGTGAAGTGAAATATTTGTTAAATAATTACATCTCATATTTTTACGAGTGTCGCGATTCCTGTAGTTTTTGTCCAAGTTTATTAAAAAAATATACATATCAAAACCATTTCAAGTATATTTGCATTGAAGGTGCAATATTGGATATATCTCGTCGGAATTTCTTTAAGATCTATCGCTATTCCGCTTCTATTTCCGAGGAAGATCAGAAATTTATCATGCGACTTATCCCCGGACACTATTGGTTGCTACTAGGCGCTGGTACGTTCTTCGCCTGCTGCTTATGGAAGACTGGATCGATCAGTCGTTGGAGTATGCGAGCGAAAGCTTTGATCCACTTTGATCTATCGATTCCGTCATCATCGTCTTCATCATCTTCGTCATGGACTACTCCGCGTCGTCCTCCCTTCGACAGGATCGACGCAAGACTATCCGTCCGTCGAAAACATCAGGGCACTCTGTCTAGATACATGCTACAGCTGTACCATCGGCGTCCAGACGCCGATGTCGTCCGTGCGATTCAGCCGGTGCATACTTCCGGTCCGCTTCGCGATGGCGGCAGGATTCTGGAGTTCGTGATTCCGTCAGTCGACATCGACGAGACGTTGGAGGCAGCAGAGTTGCTCGGAATAGCCGGTGCGATAATCCGGGTGCGATCATTGAATGATCTGTCGACGAAGAACAGAAGCGAAGAGATTTTAAGATCGAGAAGGGATGATACTTGGCGTGCCTTCGACGTCACGTCCGCCGTCACCGGCAGGAACAATGATGATATTGTCCGACTTCACGTTCACAGCAGGTTGACCTATCGCCCTTACGGCGATAGTCCGATCCTTCTGTTGAATTACAGCAAGACCGGTGAAATCCAGCGCCATCGTCGATCCGCGGAAGATCAACAGGAAGACCAGGATCAGTGGGGCGAAGAAACGCCGCGCAGACGACGTCGGAACAGTTGCCGTCGACGTCCGATGTACGTGGATTTCGCTCTGATCGCCTACGACGAGTGGGTAGTCGCGCCACCCGGATACGAGGCTTATCAATGCTCCGGCAAGTGTTCTTTTCCGTTTGGCGATCATCTTAGTCCGACCAAGCACGCGATAGTGCAAACGTTGATACATGGCGCTCTTCAGGCTAGCGAGGATCTCAACGGTAACAAATTTGTCGGCAGACCTTGTTGCGTACCCACCAGGTTGGCACCTACGAGCCTACTTTATCTGGACGCCAGTGGTACTTTAACCTACGAGTACGGCTATGAGGATATGGTTGTCTCTGAATGTGGTTGTCGTTAATAGTTGAGATCATATGTCATGCGAAGAGAGTGCGTATTTTTTCCTTTTCCTTTTTTATTAACGCTTACTTTGTAGAAATGAATGTACAAAATATAAAATATGAATAGCATTGAGCCTCGATATAATGGATTTCGAAAAAAATAAATGCATTGTATCTTGTAATGTTAATAAAAATAAGTTGAGGAATGCGAAGTAATAGAGATAACGTTAATAAAAAAATAATCAAAGATATAAGTTATATTTTAAAGTTGCCGTCAAACACATAAAATGAGAGCCTGAAAAAAATAATGATATTTCCATCAGGAAATATTATTATTAAATAATTAAATTATTATGGCAATATTAATTTTCTTCTTTTATCGCTAAGTGCATTCAAGTCAGTAATATCAATTAATTGCAAGCATTATATTGAGGTCCAAGTGTAACGTTATTCATCGGTCTCCGATGTATAAACGCTGTCACATTATCAAATTCTATCTTTACACTATCCTTACATTAAAGAGGTCCACAAAAACAGTTGGTAAAAAAACAGTTTTATATCGCGATCATCTCTCTAATATTAAAAAAACTGAACAATCTTTAGAATGTTAACTAAACGCGAATTTCGTGCACATTTCATTGTTCTTTTGATTAAGTTTATAACACCTGCCAGGTGAATGAATCTTTATCCGGCGTGTCTTTCTCAGTCTGTGCCGGCTGCCGGCTATTCTCTCGATCTTATAGAACTGCTGTTTCACTGTAGTGGCCGGCTGGCTGAGCCTCATACACAGCGATAGTGGTCCAGAGAAATCTAAGTTGGTGGACAGTTCGAGCTTAGGCTCCATTGTCATCGAGAAATCCGCCTTACTCTGCACGAAACTCGAATGTATCCTGGTACCACCGTGGACCATCACACCGGCATTCATTTCCACCAAGGACTGCGCGTTTCTCGACCATAAGCTCAGCTGGATCTGGCCGGCCAAGTCAAAGCTCACGGCGCCCTGAATGTCGACCTCGGCAACAAAACCGGATGCCAATGGCACATATTCATTGTGACTATAGAGAGAAGCGAGAGCTTGGAAAGCAGGGGTCCTCTCAGATGCCGTGCCAGACCAGACATGGCTCATCAGCTCTCCCTGACCAGAAAAGAAGACGAACGGTCGGATGCCAACGCCGAGAAAATCTATCTCCATACCGGCAGTAGCCATTTCGTCAGCTTCCGCTTCGTCTTCTTGATTCGAGACGAAACTGCCAAGACCACCCGCGAATAATCCCAGCGAGAACATCGCTTGCCGTTGATTGTTAGTCTCCAGCACGACGTCTACAATGCCGTGCTTCAGCAGACCAGAATTTACCTCTTGAATGGTCACCAAAGAACCGTTGGTCTCGGGTGAACGCAAAAAGTGCCTCGTGAAGGCAATAGAGAGACCTCTTTGCGCTCGCACGTGATAATTATTAACCGTCGTACCGCCGGTCATATATAAATTCTCCAGGTATCCGGCGAATCGCTCGTTCCTTTCAGCAATTTGTTCCAGTCGTTGACTCAAATACTTGCGGACTTCATAGGCCGAGTCGTTGCTGTTTAGATATTTTACGAGATCACGCAGAATATCTTCGGAAGGATCGCTCTCGAGGATGATGTCCAACGCGATTGTTCGCGCGCTGCTGTCCCTTCGCGGTCCGATTTGGTAGAAAACCTTATGAGCCGCGTCCCTCAACTCGTCAGTTACAGCTTCACGAGGAATAACTGCCAGGGCTCGCCAAGCGGCGACACTGATGGCTTTCTTGGTGCTTAACGCGTGCGATAACAATGTGGGAATTGCCATTGGACTCTTCAGGTTTCGCAAAGCCCGAAGAAACTTAAGTTTACAGTCTTCACTGCTACAAGTATCCAGACCCAGTTCCAGACTAATCCTCGCCTTTTCGATTATTGCGGCTGAGCCATAATGCCGCGCCATTGCGCCCGCAGCAAGCGCATAGGTCTCGGATACCTTATCGTTTTGCATCGTCTCCTCGGAGCGCCTGAGAATATCCTTTATGACATCGATGTTCGGCGATGGCGAAAGAGATAGAGCCCATAAATATCTCTCGGTCTCATCGCCGATCTCGTCCTGTCGGAGAATCTTCATGGCCGCTTGATGAGCAGGCAACGTAGATGCGGAGCCAAGCACATCCAACAGTTGCATCTTCATCTGGCGATAGCGCGGCGTTTTCAGGATCTTGTGCAGTTCCTCCGGTAAGGCGTTTCTGACTAGAGGGAGAAGCTTGAGGAAGGCCGATGCGGATTTCGCTGTACCCAGCGTGGAAAAGGTAAGCGCCTCACGATACTCCTCGATTGTCTGCTCAATCTGCAATGAGACATACATAAGTATCCATGATAAAGTATGTAAGACACTAAAATATTGAAATATTTATTTAAAATCTTTAATAATTCTTATTATCATACATATATGAAGGATAATTTCATAATAGATGGACCGCTTTAGATCGATTAGAATTTTTAAAACTTAAAATGCTGTTAAATAATGCTGTTCAATATTTGATATTTTAATCACATTGAATCAGATTGATTATTTAATAGCATTCTTTAGCATTGTCAATTATAATATATTATATATAACATATTATATATAAGTATTTATAATATATTAATATCTATATTATTTTATTAACAATGTTTGGCAACTGTTTTCTAGAAACTATTTTAAATTCTCAATCTATAATTTTGGAAATATGGTTCGTCTTTTTTCCATTTATTCAATTATCTCTCTCTTTCCCTTTTTTCGATATTATTTAATTTAACTATTTACTTTTCATAATCACGAAAAATTTATATTAACAAGTAAATAAATAATATATTAAATTGATATCTTAGATAAAAATTTATATTAACAAGTAAATACAAAGTATATTAGATCGATATCTTAAATAAAAATTTATTAAAATGATTTACGATTTAAATAATTACTTTTATTCTCGATTTTCGAAGTACTTCTAAATATATATATATATATATATATATATATATATATATATATATATATATAATAATTAAAATTAAAATCAATTTCGCCCTCTCTTTTTCTATTTTATCGCCCGATAACATGGATATTTGACCGTAAGTTTTACCGTGGGACATCCGGTGTTAGGACATGTAACGGGCTCTGGCTGTAGCTCGATATTGCTTTCTCTGTATCCGGGCTCGAGCATCATTACTGCATGCTTTGCGGAATCCGCTTGAACAACGCTCGCGCTCAGGACTTCCGGCGCCTGTTCTAATATTCTTTCTGATAGAACGTTCGTGCCGATGTCCAGCTTGGATGCCAAGGTTATCCTATGTCCCTCATAATCGAGCACACGCTCCGGCAGTAGCGATTGCGTCAGCAGGTATGTGGAATTGCGATAACTTTCGAGCTTGACGGCGAATACCGGATTCGGATGTCGTCGAGGCGGCGGTAACGTATCGTACGTACAAGCAGTCTTTCTTTTCTCGATGATGTTCTCTCCGGTGGACACGTAGACCACGTCACAGATGCCGGAAGCGTCACGTTGACGCACTTCGTCGTCGAGCGTTCGGTACTGAAACAAGCTTGCCAGGCCGCGCTTCAGATTCGCGGATGACGCGTTGTCATCTGAATCTATGTAAATTGCCACGATATCCCCGCGTCGCCAGAGCACGAAGAAGGGCTTCTCGGCAACTTGATTCACTTTGGATGAATGCTCCACGAAACCCTCTGGTGCCGGAGCTCGGCGAGATTTGATCCATAACTGCGGCGATAGCAGCTGAAAGAATATTTATGTAAATATATTATGTTTATCATATCAAAGTTTAGAGTGAAAAATTCTGAGTGGAAAGATCATGGGAATTAAAATATGCGAAAATTGTTTATATCGAAATTTCTATTCGGTTTAAAACAAACTTGTGAATCACTCTATGAATGAAATCACGTAAAATATTTTCCTCTCATTTCTCACAAATATATAAAATGATAAACAAATTATTTTAAATCAACATTATGTGTGTAATATATTTAATTAACTTAGCGTAATAATTATTTTATATTTATCCATCCAATAATTTATTTGAATTTTTTCTTGTGTATGATAAATGCCTCGCAAAAGTATGTAAGTAATATGTATGTTGTAAATATAAATATTCTTTTCAATCTTTTCACGATATTGAAACTACCGACAAATTATAAATAATTATAATTATAACTAATTTAGTAATGAATTTGATTTGAAATTTTCCTCGCAAAGAGTATTCAAGAAATAATTTATCACTCTTAAATGCGGGGTTATCAATATCCGGTAAACATTTGACATAATCTTTTCTGACTATCAAAACTCTAAATATGCTTTTCACAGCATTTCTCTTATTAAAAATAGCTATTCTATTTTGATAAAAGCTTCAAAAGATTTTTGGTATAAAAGCTTTAAAAAATTTCCTTTTTTGTGATACACTACAGATATACAATCTGTTCATTCTGAAGAAACATAAAAAAGACAAAAATATGAGGCATGTGTGAAACAGATGTACAACTTCAATAATACTTTACTTATGTACAATAGAAATCTACACGTGGCAAGTTTAACGCAAGATATTTATGAGAATTTATACATACATACATATATACATACATACATATATATATATATATATATATATATATATATTGATAATTTTAAAATATATTATTATTGGATTATCGGTGTTATCTGAATTATCTAAGTTTAAAAATTGAATGTGTGCTGGGCATATCGAAATATTAATATTTAACTGCTTGTGGAATTATACGATTACAATAAATAGCATATTTATACGTGAAACATAATATGTATAATGCTTTATATTATTTATATAGATAATTCTTCCCATCTATATAGAAATAACTTAAAATAATAATTTAAATCATAAAAAAATTTATTATATTTATATTTATATGAAAAAATTTGTGACTCATTTATTATATTTATAATAAATGAGTCACAAATTTTTTCATATAAATATAAATATAATAAATTTTAATAAATTATTATAAATATAATAAATGAGTCACAAATTTTTTCATATAAAGTTTACAATAAAATAATATAAATTTGACATAAAATATGATATATATCGGCAAAATATAAATAAAATATGATATATATTGGCAAAAAATTTACAAGATTATATAAAAAAGCCATAGAAAAATTCCACGAACGATTTTGCACGCGATCATAAAATTTAAATGAAAACTATACAGATATACAATAATGTGACGCCGGCGATAAATCTTGCGTTGAGATACGAAAAATTCAAATTAAAGAAAAATGATCATACCTTAAACTTAAGTAGAAAAGCATTAAGATCATTAGGATCTTGCCATACAGCGGTGATGTCCAGCTCACCGGTCAGTTGAAAGCCGACGTCAGCTCCAGTTGATCCGACCTCTCTGAAGATCAGAGTATTCGTTAATCTGTATTTGTGGCCACTTCCTATTTTCCAGCCTCTGGTGGCACCGGCTACGGCTGCAAGTATTATGCACAATTTCCAGCTGATACTCTTCATCGTGCAAATTATTGCGTAATTCACGCGGCAGCTGATAGTAGTGAGGTAGTTGTATATCTATTCTTATGAATCGGACGCTCGGCAACGTGACCGATCGCGAGTCGCGTTGCGCGTCGACTGACAAGCGTACTAGACTACCGAACAGATTCAGGAGAGAATGCACGTCATCCCGGATACGCGTGTGCGTGTGTGCGTACGGACACACGCGAGCACGATGGTATGTGTGCGTGCGTCTGTACACGCGTCGCACTGAATACCGTTAATTCACGAGGCGTCCATGTTACACGATGGGCAAGAATGGGCGTTGCGTGTGATTCTTTTTTAACGTCTCGACAAGATATCGACCGATTAATATTTTAAATAATTCAATGAATTTTTATAATATTGCTTTGGATGTTTTTTTCTCTTTTTTTATTATAATTCTTCAAAAAACAATTACCTGGTGCCATCTGACAGTACGAACCTGTAAGAAAAGAATTCTGTTTTATAAACGTGCATATCTCGGTCAAAAATAGATTGATAAAAATATAAATAACTTTTTGTGGAAAAAAAACAAATGGAAAATAAGAAATAAGTTTCTTTATTAAACATATTTCGATTCTAGTTTTCGAGATAAATCATTTTGCATGTTAAAGTAATGTGAAAAGGATTGATTTGATTATTAAAATATATAAAGTTCCTGTAAAGTCATGTACGATTTAAAAATTTTTTTATATAAGGTTTTTGATATGATATTTATAATATTTGATATCATGGTTAGTTCCTCGCTGTTCTCTTAATATGAGCAGAGGTCATCGCTAATATATATATTAATATGCAAAAACAGATTCGAGATATACATATATATATAGATAACTACCCACACTTGACGCATTATTTTTGTAATTAAAATCATTATCTTGAAAAATGAATAATGAAAAAATTGTTGCACGTCATTTGTTTTATATAATTTCATAAACAGGAAAACGCCTACAATTGATTAAAAATAGTAGCGCGTATTCAATGAGCAGTCGTGTTCCGGCCGGCTTGTACGATGTATTTTTCAATGAATGACTTTCGGTCTGGCATAACGTGAGAGGGGAGCCGGGGCGCTACAGGGGGACGATGAAACCCATAGGTGCCATGCCGAGGAACGGGGGAGGGGGGAGAATCTTATATGGAGAGGGTGGAAGCGGGCGTGGGGCAAAGGGAAAAATAGGGGGACCACAACTGGCGGATAACTCACCGAGGAGCGTGAAAAGATAGACCAGGCAGACGGCGAGCATCCTGACTGGCGTGCTCCGAAGAAGACGACCGGCCATCCTTTCCTCGCTTCCTCGTCCTGTACTGCGCCGTAGTGGTTTCGCGGACGTCAACGTGCCGTCCCGTTTCGCGTTCGCTCCCCTTCTCTCGTCTCCCTGCGGGTAAATAGGAATAATTAGACGCCACAGGCCTGCGTTATATTATCGCGACTCAGAAACTCCCCTTCCCCTTTCACCCCTACCATCGCGGACCCATTCCTCTACCATCGGAGCAGGATCCTTTACTCATTCCCCCTACTCGATGAAGAAAAGACGAATACTTTTCAATACCGCAAACTTGGACTCTGCTATGAAATATATAAATCGTAACAGGCGCGCGAGTGCGCAACACGTGTAATATATGCGTCGCGATAGTTGTATGATAATATGCAACTGTCATGCGAAGAGCGAGATATGCAGACGGACGCTGAGAAAAGAGTGGACGTCAATTCGATCCGAACTAATGCATGCTGGATCAAGTGTGCTTTTTGACCTTTATCCTTGCTTCATTTACAAGGGGGGAAAATTGATTTTTTCTCACCTACGAGGAAAATCTCCAAATTTTCCTTCAATATCCTAGATCTATTAGCGAATTTGGTAGGATGTACTAATGCACTAAAAGATTATCGTATATTTACGATGTTCTACATTAACTATCATAATTTACAATATTTATCGTAATTTATAATAGTATAATTATGGTAATAAGATGATTCATACACATAAGTAAATTTGTTAGTAAGTTATTATCTGTTGTTATTCAATACAAATGCGATAACAATTAGAATCAATTATTTTACTTTTAGTTCTTTATTGTAAAGTAGCCTTTAAATGCACCTATGCGTACTACTGCACTCAACCGAATTCGTTATATAATTACATTTTATATATAATTACAGTTTGGTTGTGTGTGTATGTGTGTGTGCATCAAAGTCGTTTTGAAAAAAAGACTTTGCCTTTATTGTTTTTCTCGATATTATCTATAATATCAAAAGGAAGAAAATTTACTTACTTTTAAATATTCAAGTGTGTGGATTTTAGTACAAAGTCCTAGACACGTGTACTATCTCCGAGATACGTGATTACCGTTCGTTGGAAAAGCTTATTTCAATGAAAGCGCATTATCAAAATCGCAAAATATATCAATTGTATTGTCAATAAAGAGATAAGATTAGATAATGTCAATACGATAGAATTCAAACATTAATTAAAAACTAAATTTTCAAATTGTCATTAAGCACGTTGACGTACAATTGACGTCTGCAACCTTAAAATAATATTTTGTTAAAGTATAGCTCCCACGCAAGCCAGAAATTGACGGATAATTCGAACAAATTTGTGAGCACGGAAACGTTAAAATAAATGGCACGCACAAGAATGGAATACTTAATATACGTCATGAATCTAACGAAACGCACTGTCGTGAGACCGAAAGCGACTACTACGACAGAATGGAATCCGGGTGGTCTCGTTCGTCCGAAGCGAACAACCACGAATGTCCCTGGAAGCTGTTCTTATCAATCAGTAGTGACCCCTGAACCTCGAATGACGCTGCCGATATTATCATTCATTTGATCCTTCAATTTCGAGCCGTTCTTTCATTGATTTGCTTACGATGTACCGACAAAATCAATAAGATATAAATTAAAATATTGCTGATTAAAATCCGATTATGCAAATGTTTGAAAGCAAAATGCGATATAGGTCAAATTATTTTATGTATATCAACTGATAATGAGTTATAATTTTAAATTTATATTATTAGACTTTTTGTCAATTTTTCGTATAAAAATATAGTATAAAGATTAATATAAAAACAGATTGTGATAATAGTTTATTTAATTTCTTATTTTTATTATATTTTTAACATATTAACATTTAATATATATATATATATATATATATAATATATATATATATATATATTAAATTATATATATATAAAACATAATCAAAGTATATATTATTGTACATAATAATAATATATACTATACCATGCCTTTTTTATTAATTGGATATTGATAATTATTTTTTTTCTATATATGCATCACATTTTTTACGAATCTTTGATTTGTTTCATTTATTTAAAATTCTTTTATTCAAGAATTCTTGATATCGATATATGTCGATATATAGAGTGTCCAGTTTAGAAAGTATTCCTTGAGATGGCACGACAATGTATTTCCTAAAGAAATGCAATACCTTATTTTGATAACACAAAGCGTTTTTTAAATATTTCTAATATAATTTTTACCTTAAAAATTAATTTAAATTTACAAAATTTTGTAAAAGAAATTCAATTTCAAACTAAAAAGTCGAATTGAATTAAATTCAGACAGATAATGACGCTAACTATTGTTAGAATTGCGAGCTATTCCATGAAATCAATAAAATAACTCTTGTCGGCAATGAAAATTGCTCATATAACAATTACATTTTTAAATTAATTATTTTGAAAAAAATTTTAATCAGTTTAATCAAAAAATATTATGATATTGATAATTAAAAAATAATTAAAATAATTAAAATTTAAAAATAAGTAGTTATTACAATTTTTTTACTAATGATTGATTTGCTAATAATTTATTTGTCTTTCAGAAATCACTAAAGCTAAATACTTTTATTAATCATTACATATCAAAAAACCTATTCTTTATTCTAAACTTACGTAAACTTTATTAACATAAATTATCTTTTTAAAAACTTATAGATTTTTAGTTGATAATTTTTGAATAAAAATTTTTAGAATAGAAATTGTTGTTGAGATAATACAAATCTTTCTGATAAAAGGAAAACACTAATAATTTATAAGAATATCACTATATGCAAAACTTATTATTAAAAATCTATGGTAATGTAAAATGATATCTTTTGAATTGTTTTGCAAACGATTTGTGTTTAATAATCGTTTCACAAGTTGATGATATTATCGGAAATTTATTTCGATTATACATTGCAATTTCATAAACAATTTTCCGAATTCCATGTATATGGTATTATTCCATTTATCATTACACATGTTATATTATAATACATATATAAATAAACAAGTTATTCAAATTAATTAGTTATTTAAATATACATAAACGAGCCAATATCGATAGCACCAGATAATCGGTGCTTTTCATTTCCTGTAACAAATAAAGTCTTTGCAAAAGTGTCAAAAAATGACGAAAAGAAAGGAGTAAAATACTATTGTAAAATCTTGTCCAACACTTGCGGCATTTATATAAGATATATCAAAAGAAATGGCCATTATTTTGGGTGCAATAATAATAGCGCGACAGTATCAGTGTAAAAAAAGTTTCTAATTTGTGAGACAAGTACGAGAAAAAGCTTGCTAATAAAAGTTGTTTATAATTTTATTAGTTATTAACTATATTATTAATTGTATGCATAATAATTCAGGACAAAACATATAATTTAATTTAATAAAATGCAAAATTTTTCTTTAATATATATTGCTTGGAGTACTGCCATGCACTGTGCCTCAAATATTTTTATATTCTGCGAACCGCGTAAAATTGAAGATAAAATGCTCAATACTTTTTATAAAAAAATATTATAAATTATCCTCAAAATACCAATTTTATATTCAAAATGTCAAAACGTTTTTCCCTGCTGGAAAAGAAATTGTTCTCATGATTTTATTCTTTCGTCAAAACTATATGAAATGGCTACGAAACGAGAATCGCGTTCAATTTAAATGACAATATTAACGATACTATCATTTCTCGCGAATAAATATCGAACTCTCCCCTTCTGAAACGTCCTGTACAAACCTGCGGAAGTAACCGTTGCGGAAACGAACGAACCAACGAACGGGCGAATGAGCGAGAGCGCGCGCGAGCGCGCTAAATAATCATAACTCAGAGAGACATTTGTAACGCCAGCCTCTCGCTCGTATTTATCGCTGTTGTTGGACGGTTTGTTGCAGCAATAACGGTAATGGGCCTCCCCCGCTTCCAGTCTTTCGTGCACCCTTCCCTCCACCACTGCCCCGACCCGTCTCTCTCTCTCTCTTTCCTTCTCTCTCTCTCTCTTTCCCTCTCTCTTTCTCTCGCCTCGCCGGCCACCCCTTGCCGAGCGATTTATCCTCGGGTAATTAGCACGGGTAATAATTAATGCGGCCGCGCATTGTGCTAATTATCAGCGAGAGAACCTTTTAAGAAATGAAAGAACATTCGAAATAAAACAGGGCGCCGCGAGGATGGCGGAGGAAAGGCGGGAGGGTGAACACGTCGGTAGCGACGAAGAAGATCAAGAGGGGGCGTGAGAGGGTGGAAGAAAACGAACTGAAAAGAGAGGAAGAAAAACGTGAAGGAGGGAGTTTTTCGCGAAAACTCTACCCGCATTTGCACAGGATACAACCCACACCATCGCGTGTCGTTTTAATCATGGCCTCTATTAAGGATCCGAAATAGAATTGGGAGATTATTCGTCACATATGTTTGAAAAATGTATTGTTTGATATCTCAAGTTTTCATAGGTACATTTGCTGAGGTAAATATATATAAATATTTCGCTTAATATTAATTTAAAAATATGTATAAATCTTTTTTTACTTTTCTTATATGCTGTAAAATGTTTTCCGATATTTTTGAACTCCACAAATATTATATCTGCGATTATTATATTTACAATACATCTGAAAGTCTGCAAAAGAGTTGATTGGTACTTTTAATTGTAATTTTTTTTTCTATTACGACATAAGTCTAAATCATTTGTTTTCAACAATTATAAAGGAGACAAGAAAAATTTTTTAAAAATGGATCAATGTACAATTCTTTCTGTGATTAATTTTCGATATTAAATAATCGCTCGTTTCATTTCGAACGATTGAAAAAATAATTCAAATGTTCTTAGGCTGCAGTTGAATCTGCGATTGAACGGACGAGGTACAATTCTGGGACACCCTTCTGCGTGCGCGTTTCGGTGGGTTCGCGCACTCTCGCGAGCGAATAGGAGGACTCACGACAGCCAGTGGAGTCGAGCAGCTATCCATCAGGGTGCTTTTGTCGCCCTAATGAGAGCTTGAATTATTCAACTTGAAGGCCTTTCTCCCCCTCTTCCCCGGTCCACCCTATACGTCGGTTCTCTTCTTCCACGCCGAGGCGCCCGCCCATCCACGACTCTTGTATGGGGCCCCCTCATACTCGCGACACTTAAGAGTCGTTCATTCCTATACGTACACATGCGGCTATTAATGCGCCTCTTCTTCCGGTTAGTGACGAACTCGCGAAAATGGTGAATTGCACCTGGAAAAACCTAAGTAAGTAAGCCTAAAAACAAGATTAAATCTTTCATATAATAATAATAACAATTCAATTATAATAATATCTTTTATATAATGATAACAATATTAATATATTTGCACACGTGTAAATGTAGTAATAATAATTATTATATTATTTATTATTGATTATTTATTATTGTAATTATGATATTATTTATTATATTGTAATTATATATAACCCGATAACATAGTAACGTGTATATACAAGCAAAATTTGAAATAATAATTTTTTTATAACTATTGTAAATATATATCTGTTTAAATTATGCCGTTTGTTACAGGACGCTCGTTGTTGTAATATCGAATTTTTCGTGTGTGAAAGGCGACGCTTTAATTATAATTAACATATGCATGAATTTTCGCGCAAAATCTATCGGAATATTTTTAACTCTCTCAAACATAATGTTACCGATATAGTGGTGGTATAAAATTCATATGCATAACTTTTACGCGGATCTCACTCCTTCATTCCATTTAAATTTATCCGTTATACGCTGAAATGTACACATATCGTTTTTAATGGCGAATATTTCGTACGTTTGTACTGACGGTGGCAAAACATTAAACGCAATCAAATGAAAATGTAATATCAAACTAATGTGATGGAATTTCTCTGTGAAGTGCATTAATGAGCGTTAATAATCACATAAATGCAGTCAAGATATTACATTTCTGTCTAAGCGATTAAGGTGCTTGATGGACGATGATTAAAATTATGCATGCATATTCTCGAATGAGAATTTTCGGCTTTTCATAAATTTATAAGATTTTATAAATATCGTTTTTATAACAATATTAATTTTTCAGATAAGACGATAAGTGATTAATTTTATAAGTAAATTATAAAATCACATACATATATCGGCAATTTATTAACTCTTCTTGATTTTAAGTTTCTTGTTTCTTAATACAAATATCAGTAACAGTGTTAATAATATAACTAGAGGCGCAATCGCGCGAATCAAAACGTGGCCGAAGCTGAAATTCCACCAGCAACGAATAACTCCCATCTAAAGGTACTCTCGAGCTACCGGCGAGTACGCTGTCGACCAATTTCTTAAGAATTTTACAGCTCCGGTTAAACTTTCGTGATTAACTACTTCCGAGTTGTTTTCAAAAGTGGAGCGTATATTACACCCGCTTGAACACTCCCGGCAAGTCGTTTTAGTCTCGG